TGTCAGAATTCTGAAGGTGCCCACAGGCTACATAAGGATGGAGACCCCTGAACTACAGAAACAAGGTCCTCATAATGCTGAGGCCTCAGCCTCGCCTATCAGTGTGCCCAGATTAATGGGCCACTCACCATGGAGCTTCTGAAATGGTGACCCTACCATGGACGCTTACCTTTTTATCCTGGTTTCATACTCCAGCTTTTGCTTTGACATTTCCTGCTTTAAGCTTGACACAAGGCTGTGCAAAGCGCTGTGATTGCTCGTGTTGTTGACCACGAATGTTTCGCTGTTGTCGCTGCTGCTGGTGGCCCGGCTGCTGCGCCCTCCGACACTCCTCCGGTCGCCTTTGCCCTCGTAATCCCCTTGGTTGGAGAGCTCTTCGTGTTGGGGTTCGTCTAAGACAGGGTCTTCGAAATTGGCCCCATAAAAGTCTTGTTCGGGGCAGGTGGTGGTAGAAGACCGGCAAGAGTTGGAATGTTCAGGGAGGGATATTTCGCAGGAGGAGGTGGACCAAGTAGCACTGTCAACGCTCTGCTTGTCTTCCGCGTTCACCATGGAGAACTGCTGGTGTACGTTGTCGTAAGTAGACAGTCTGTTGTGTTGGCCTGTGTCACTCATGGGCTCCTTCTGCTTGCTATCCCTCAATGTCACATACCCATTGGGCATCCAGCCTTGGTTGCGGCTGTTCAGAGAGTTGCTGTGGGCATCCGTGCTGGAAATGCCCATCCTCACACCTCCGTTCTGCACACTGTGAGTGCCCATTTTGGTTACTGGCCCTTTCAGCGAAGAGGTTCTTCTGGTCTGCAAAGTACCATTGGGTAAAGATGGTGACGTTTTCTCTTGGCCCTCCACAGAGCTGCTGAAGGACCCATTGGTGACTATGCCACTGCCTTTATTAAATGCTGGATTTTTTTTCACCATGAGGGGTGGACTTCTGGTGACATCCAGCTTGTGAATGCTGTTCCTGGGGCTGTTTGACTTGCTCCCGGGCTGCGCAGTAGGAGACCCGTTGTCCATGATGGTTCTTTGGGGGGACTCGGGTGTTTCCCAAGAGCAGCGTCTTACAGGCGAATCTTTCGTGTTGTTGTTCTCTTTGTTCTGGAGCTGACCTATGATGACTTTCTTTTGGATCTCGTTGTTGTTGTTGCACACCTCCTGCCCACTCTGGAGGTCAGCGTCCTTAGGGAACAGCAGCTCATGTTCGCTGATCAGCATGGACATCAACTGCTGGACCACAAC